TTTTTTGTATTAGTGATGGATGGGAGAGGGCCCAGCCCATTGTGGGCGGTGCCACCCCTGGACTGGTGGCCCTGAGGTGTATAAGAAAGCAGGCTGAGCAAGCTACAAGGAGCAAGCCAGTAAGCAGCACCCCTCCATGGCCTCTGCATTCACTCCTGTCCCCAGGTGCCTGCCCTGTTTGAGTTCCTGTCCTGAGTTCTTTGGATGATGAACAGTGATGTGGAAGTGGAAGCCAAATAAGCCCTCCTCAACTTGCTTTTGGTTATGGCGTTTCACCACAGCAATAGTAACTGACTAGGACAAACGACATGCCGCAGTGACCCGTTCCCTCCAGCCTGGTCTTATGACACCACCAGCCACATGAGTCTGAGGGGAACACTTCAGACTCAATTGTTAATAGTTACCAGATTTGTTTCTACGGGAGAAAATAAGAGCTAGGATTGTCCTCTTCTACCGTCTTGCTTGTAATTGTCCCCTACTCTTAAGTGACAAATTCTTCAGCAGAAATAGAGGTGTGATTTGTGTTAACCTTGAGAATAGTAATAAGAGATATGTATATCTCACACGTGTGCTGCACAGGATCAGCGGAGACAGGAAGGACAGTGTGGATACCAGATTGACTTTTTTCCGCACTGAGAGAAATAATTCCTAAGTTTGTGACATTTACCGTTGGCTAGCTATGAGCGAGGTACTCATTAAGGCAGAAATGTAAGTGGCTAATGCTTTTCTCTGCATTAGGAGCCTTTGGATATCATCACGGCTCTTAAGAGGAGGACAGCTTTCTAACTCTTGAAAGGCAATCTCTCTCCTCTTTGAAAGCATTTCAGGTTCAAAGAGGGGAAATTTCCCCTCTAAGCAGGAAAGGGTACCTCACACTCTCCACAGAATATCAAAAATAACTGAAACAACCCCTAATAGGCAGTAAGTTGGATTGTTAGAAGCCGTGAGGGAAAAGGCTTTCACGGTAATAGCTGATTTAAAAGCTAAAAGCTGTGCCCCTCGCCGGGCAGAGGATTTACCAAATGGTAAGTAACAGGCTTATTTGAAGTGCAGGGAACATCCAGGATGCATTTGGGTCTATACACGTGTGTTCCACCATGTGCTCTTCATGTTACAATTACTGTAGAATACTTGAGAAAAATAGAAATACAACCAGGGCACTGATTAATCTCTGTAGGAATATGGATATTTTCCCTGAGAACAAAGTCTTTGGGACTTCTGGGTCAACGTCGCTTGGATTTCTGAGCTTGTATCACAGATTAGCAATAATTACTCAGAACAGCATTGTGGTTATTTGTTCCAATGGAGAATGAAATTGTCAATGTAGTTGCTAATATATGTGTGGTTCATTGATTCAAGCTGTGTTCTGGTTTTCCATGGTTGGTTGAATTTTTGAAAGCTGAAGTGGTGGAGTTCAAAGTCAGGAAAGACATTAGGAATAATTTCATGTCAATCTTCAGGATGGGCATTCTTGAAGTGGAATATTTTGCATGCTTTCCTCTGATTATTCTTGTTACTTTTTTGGATGAGATTTTTTGCAACTGTGACTGCTTTGGAGATTTTGGTGAAGCACTAACTGAGCTGAGCACTAATCTCTACCTCCTTCTCCTACATACACACTGTCTGTCTGTCTGTCTATCTGTCTGTGTCTACCATCTATCTATCTATCTATCTATCTATCTATCTATCTATCTATCTATCTATCTATCTATCTATCTATCTATCTATCTATCTATCTATCTATCTATCT